ATTAAGCCATGCTGGGAGTTGTTGCAAGTCATATGGCGTCATCCATGCACAGCGTTTTTCGAGTAGCTCTAATGCAAATGAACTCATTATTATGCTGTCAAGACTTCTCAGCTTTGAAATTCGATCAACTTCTCGATATTGTGGACATGACGAACAGGTTAGTCGTATATTTCCACTTATTTTGTCGATTCTTGCATTTCTATGTTGCAGGTTCCGATGTTTTGGTCGCACATACTTCTCCCACTCGTCTAATGAGCTCAATGCATCATTGGAAAAGCAAGCAGGATCATACTTCACCCGCTATCATGCGGAAAGAATGGAGGAACTGCGCATGTTTCTGGAGAATGAGTGCTTCACCATATGTCCGGTGTCGCCGCAGTTCACAATATTCGACCTTCAAGTTCGTGTCATCCATTACTGTTCCTTTTTATACTAAAAACTTCAAGGACTTTTCTTTCCTGGAAGAACTGAGAAAGCAGAAAGCGGATTTGGCAGCACCTTCTAGCGACACAGCGGAGCAAAATGGTTTCAAACCAATCCCAGCGCAATTTGTCAATCCTTTTGCTAGCACTGAGCTGGAGGTAAGCTTATCTTTTCAACCAATTGTTTTCAAGAGAATTTATTTATAGTCAAGGAAGCAATCACAGCGCAACTCACGGTCGACTGATGATCGGGATGATCCGCATGAAGGCAGTGGCAATGAGGAAGAGGAGTGCGTTGTTTAGCGTTTGTTTTGTAGTTCTTTCAGTCAGTGCTCAGTTTTTAGAATTGAAGCAGCTCCGAATTTATGCAACACAGCACTCACACTTCTTCGGTTTTTTGGTACGTTTTTTGCTGACTTGGTAGATCTTTCAAGTAAAATAATTGCTTCCTTTTACCGGTCCGCTAGGCGGCTTCACTTTTGTGTTCCGCACAACTTGTATAGGCTTTTTGTTTCTAGGAAGATATATGCGCATGACGTCATTGTTGCCTTCAATAGCTGAGCATTCTGTGCCAGCCCTTACTCAGTTGTTCGAATATTTCTTTTATTCTGTAAGTGGTCTCACTTTGTAGTACATCAGCTTTATATTTGACATACAAAGATAATTTAGATATGTCTATTCTTTGGATCAGACGGGTCAGATAATATGGAAGCACCTCTTAGGATAAGATATGTTCTTGAAGATATCGAGCTACGTCTACTAGGAAATGGAAATGATCACGCTGCGGTATGAGTTGTTTTTCATTTGAAAATCTAGGTTAACCGAACTACTTCAGGACTTGGGACGACTTACTGCGCCAACACCATGTTCGGGACTAAATTTGAGCCATGTGGACGAACTATTTGGAGCGGTTGAACGAGTCGTAGGCGTTGAGTCCCTGTTAGTTTTTAATTACTCGCCAAGTATTCTGCCGCACTATTTTTTTTTGTCAAGGGAATTTGTGGCTCGTCAACTAGACCTTGTACGCCCAGTCATGGAGTTTTTGATATGCCCAACAGACGAGAATACACTGAGAGCGCTGGACCAATTTTACGCAAATGTAATGGTTTCTTGTTTTAGAATCTCCAATATGGATCTACAGTCGCATCATTACATATGATCATGTGTGTCACTGCAGACACTGTCTACTTTTGGCGTCCCCATCCT